TTAAAATTGTTCTTATGATTGCAATATTTGTGTCCCTAAGAGAAGAAGAGTGTTTGAGGTGGGTGGATAAACAAATATTCTAATCACATTCTTTTGAAAGCTGCAGTTTGATTTCAACATCATTATGGTTTTTTCTTTTTAATTTCTTCTCTTAGCTCAGTGGGAACTATAAAAAAACAACAATAACATGTCCTTGTAACTTACTGCTGTTCGATCTGTAATGATTTATTTCTGTGTTTATTTTCCTTGTAATAATGATTGTTTAATAATTTTTTTTGTTGCTGTTTTCACAGTGCATTTCAGGGAACAACGTTCACTTGATTTCTGGCTGATGAGTGATTAACCCAGGGGGAGTCAATCTGCAAACCCCACAAGCCAACTGAGTTACATTCACTCATGCTTCTAGTAATGTTACCACACTTCCAGTATGGGTTCCAGCCATGCATCTCAGAACACCAGTGGTGAGGAGGATGGTTGCAGATTAATATGTCTCTGTGTGGTGGCCCAAGACCACACTGATACAACGCAGACCACAGGCTACATCTGGTTCGGACATACTGAGCCTGCTTATGGCCCCATGTCCTTCATATGAATCCACCACTGTGGCATCTTTATCTGACTGGTGAAGGATGGACAAGCTGGCTTTCCAGAAGCTACAAAACCTGTTATCTAAGCCTGGACTGTGGGAGAGGTGAGAGGGCTGGATGTGGGCTCAGGACGTGGCATGCAGTCTAGAAGCACCGTCAGGCCAGCTGCATGGTGAAAAGGCCTTGAGGATGCTGCAAGACAACCACCTGCTCTCTGACTTACCAAAGTACTGTAGGTATCTTCATTGACTCCTGGGGGACTAAATGCAAAGGGATTTAGGAAAGAAAAAAGCTTTGGGAAAATTTAGGAAAAGATCTCAAAGCAGTGTCAACTTGCATCTTATTCTGGACACTGCACTTACATGAGGGAAGTGCTTAGGGGCTAATTTGGGAATGTTAAAGTTATGAAAACAGCACCTCTGGACTTAGCTTCCTATGTAGTGTAGCTACTTTAAATATCATTGATTTTGCATGGGCATATTGTCACTTCCAGCAGTGACATGTTACCAGAGCTTTTAGTGGTAGCAGAGACACTCTCTGCAGTTTTTTAACTAACATAACCATATTCATTTATTAGATTTATGGCCTAACCATGCAATTACTTTTTGCTTTACAAAAAGTCATTACATTTTATCATCTACACAACCCGCAAGGGTCTGATGCCTTCCTAATGTTTCCCTCTCTCAGTCAATGACAGAAAAAACACAAAAGGACTTGAGTGGAGCTGAGTCCTGGATCTGAACTGAGAGAAGACAATAAAGAGAGAGAAGCAACAGCAGGACCCAGTGGGACTGCGAGACACAACAGGTTGTATTTCTCTAGTCTGATCAGAGGTGCCTTGCTTATCTGGTCAGCAACATCCACACCTGACAGCAGAGGAGAGCCCAAGGCAATTAAATCATCATGTTTTATGAATCTAGGTAGCTGGTGAGAGATGGAAAGCCCCATTAGTGCCCTGAGAGCAACACAGCCACCTCTTGGTCTTCAAAGAACGTACACCCATGATACCATCCTGCTCTAGGTCTCTGATGAAAAGCTTCAATTTAGTCCTTAAGCAGGAACTACATGTTTTCAGAATAAAACTTTAAGAGGGTTCAAGCTGCTACACAAACTGAGAGCAACATTAAGCAGAAGAGCAAGATTTACAATGTTTGGAAGCGAAGAAATCCTGAAAAAATGACCAGAGGGAACATGGGAATGTCAATAATGAGCATCAGGCCAAGAACAGCAAGACCAAGACTACAGAAATGAACTAAGATAAAGACACTCAAATCATCACAGGCAAATGCACAGTAAGTAAGTAACAAGCAAGTAATGCTAGGGTGACTGCTCACTCTGCATATTTATATTTGTCTTCACTCTGTATTCACAGAGCTCTTTGAAATGCAAGAATAAACTTCTGGGAGGCTTAAAGGATTTAGCCATCAAGCTGAAACAAACAAAACACTCCTGTCTGAGGAGGAGCAGTAGATAAGACTAGTTACAAGAAATGCTTAAACTAGTTATTACAAAAAGAAAAAGAAAAACCAATAAACCAATAAAACAACAACAAAACCCAAACACCCAAACCTCCATCCAAATCTCCACATCTTTTTCCTTGTGAATATTGCTGCCACTCCACCTGTTCTGTGGGGCTTGGTATCCTAAAGAGAAAAGAGAATTGAAAGAAAGAAACACAACAAGAACTGGGGAGAAAAAACTCAAAAGGGTGCTTCTGGTCATTCAAGCTGTCCCTTCCACTCAGTCACTTTCTTTGTGCTCTTGCTCCTGGGAATTTTTAGCTGCAGCTTTGAAACACACAGGAGTGCTCAACATCAAACAAACAGACCACATGGACACATCCCAGATATTACCACATCACTATATTACAAATATTCAAAGAAGTTTACTGCCCCTCCTCACTTCACCATTATCTCTGCCCTCCATGTTTCCAAAAAAGGGCTGGTGGAAAAGATTAACAGTGCTGAAAATATTCCTCATCCAGAAAAGATATAAGAGAGCTTGAACTCAGACAATCCCTACTTGATATTTTTGCTTGTTAGGAGCTGGCAAGAACCTGAAATTTTAGATGACAAAAACAAACAAAAAAGAGATATTTGGAAAGTAATCAATACAATGAATTCTTCAGATGAGAAAGTTGAAGAAGAGGAGGAGAAATAGGTCCTAAATAAGCAGAACCAAGAGAATCATAACCTAGAGGCATGCAGAAGTCTCTCTTTTAATTATGTGAACAGATTTTTTTCAGCACTAACCATCTACACTACTGCCCAGTCTCTACCAGACAGAAGGAATGCATCCATTTTTCAAAACTGTACTTATGAGTATGGAGAAAAAAATCATAGTGGGCAAGTCCCACATGATAGGAACGTTACATTCCAAAATATGGACAGTGTACAGCCAGATTTCATTTCCTCTGCCCACATTTTAGTTGTATGTAGTTAGCTCTTTTGTGGGGGGAAAAAAACTAACAAAAAAAAAAAAAAGCCCACTTGAAACACACCAAGATTTGGAAACAGTGTCTCTGCCAAGTTTAAGTACACACACAGAATGAAAGCTGGATTCAAGCCTGTTTAACAGGCAAAATTATTTACCAATAAAGTTCCCTTCCTTTCTAACACCTCACCTGAGCACTGCTTGAGCTGCTCTGTTTTCTTATCACATCTGAAGGATCCAGTTGTTAAAAGACCCTTGACATCTTTCACACATCCCTTTTTGAGGGAGTGGAAGGAAAATCTATTTCTAAGACACCTCGTTATCTACTCTTCACTGTCCCCAGAAGTGGCCTAATAATTCCATTTCAGCACAATGCATTTTGCATGTTGGTGTTATCTGATAGTTCTTCCCATGTGTTTTTAAAGACCTGTTTTCTCTGGTTACTGAAGACTGGCAAAAGGCACGAGTGACTGGGGAAAGCAAGCAGTGCACAAAGCCAAGGCAGAGTGACATTCAGACTGGTCACATACTATCTCTCTTTTAAGGTAGTCACCCAAAATGCACCCTCTACTCAATTGTTTGCCAATCTCCACGAAGATCCATTTCAAAAGCCCTAAAAGTAAAGAAATACAGTAAGTTCACATTTGCCAAAGCAGAGCATAAGAATATATGGTGTTATTTTCTCCTCCAAACGAAAACTCTGGAAATTAATGTTATAGCCCATCAAAATGGTTTTGACAAAATACTTTTCATTAAATAAAATTTGTTTAACAACATTGTGAGTTTAGTTAGGGTAGGTATCTGGGATCTCAAGTGAAGTCATAAAGACCCCAAATTAAAAAAAGTCTGACATTGGGAATCTGAAAATGGATGTTTCAACAGCTTTACTTCACAGACAGTAAAAGGTTTGATCTCGTTCCAATGGAGAATTTCAAACCTTAGAGGCTGTTGCAAGACAGAATTTCTTGTTCCTCAGCCAGCTCTTGTTAGCATAGTCATAATAACCATCATCAGAGATTTATGTAGTCTTTTATCCCCATAGAACTTAAAGCAGTTTGCAAGTGACTGTGATCATAAAAAGCATGTATGAAACAATCACACTCATACTCCTCACTGAGCAAAAGAGGTTGGTCTGCACTGAAGCATGGCAGCTGTTGAAGAAAGCACAGAATTATGGTTTAAGAATAAGTGTGAGGAAGATACAGCAACTAATTGAACAGCAGAAGGGATTTAAGTAGGCAACTTCTATAACTGAATTTAGCTACAAGATGAAAGCAAACAAGTAAGAGGTCTTGACTGAGAGGATGACATGTGCATCATGCATTGTCTCAAGAAAGACTCTTCCCCTAGAAGCCCAGTTTCAGTCCCTAAGCTAAGTACCACGGGCCTGGTTTCACCTGACGCAACAAAACCTCAGTCAGACAGGTCTGTGCACACAGTTCACTAGCGTCTGGAGAGGTTACTACTTCACCACGAAAGGCTTCTCCAAGACCACCAAAGCAGAAGTGCAATGTCATCATAGATCATTAACATGCTACTGGATTTTTTTTAATGAAGTACTGTAAATACCAATCTGTGCAGCTATTTACACAAAATTCGAGGCATGGTTATCATATCTATGAAGTTAAACAGCAAGAGAAGATGATGCCAATTGACATGATTCCAGATAGGTCGGAAAGGCATTTCTCATTCACACAGCTTTAGAGGCTCCACTCTCTCACTTATGCCAATCTCATATCATTTGAGGCTTAAATTCATGAAATACTCCTGTGAGAGCATTACGCTTTAAAGATTATTGTGTCAAAGAGCAAAGCAGAGACCTCTGACAAGGAAGACATTTCCAAGAACTTGGTGAGACAAGTTTCAGCAGAATGCACAGCTGATGAAGCAGAGCTTCTGCAGAGAGAAAAACAACTACCTCTGTTAAAAGCAAAGACAAGAAACTTGTGAAGTGCTGCAAAGGAGAAATACAGTACTTACCAAAGTGGCAAAGTGCTGCAAAGAAGGCTGACAGGAACTTTGCCGTTGTCGTGGTTGTAGGATATCATTATCACTGCAGTGAATGTTTGTGCACTGAAGGCAAAAGGGACAAAAATAATAATGTAAAATATGGCAGGTTTGGTGAACGAGATGCTGTATCTTCTGAATATGTCTGAATTTATCAGAAATAATTAATTTCTTTTTAATTTTAGAAAAATCACTGATAACTAGAAACCTCTCACATCAGGTTTAGTTGCAATTATGGAGTCACATGCAAGCTAACAAATAAAATCTACTAAAAAAGCTAACATTTACATTTTAGCCTTTTTTTGTTACTATACCACAATAAAGGGCACAAACTAGTTAGATTTGGTCATCTCCCCAGTGTCCTCAACCAAAGGGTAATTTTTAAGAGATTTAAAATCTTCTCAAATAGTGGAATAAGCTGGGGTCATTACAGAGACAAAAAGCCACTCCTGCTCCCTAACTGATGCTGTCAGGTGTACCTTGGCAGGAACTGAGGCCTGAACCCATAATGTGGGGTTGTTCTGCTGCATCCCCTGCCACACACAGTCTGGATACAAAGGTCAGTCATGGCGTCATTACAGCCTACTTTGCTCAAACCTACCCAGCGAAGTGTCCTTGGACTCACTCTAAACCCCACACTAGAAGTCATCACACATCTGAAATGGAGAAAAAAAGAAACAGTTTAAGCAAAGCTGAGTACTGGTAGCACTGGTAATCTCTGAACTCAACCAGGTTCCAGAGAAGGGTTCCCAGGTGAGAAGGGAGCACAGAATACAGCAAATGGGCTTAAAATTTCTTGATGCAACTCAATGGAAAGAAGACCCTGAGCAACATAAAAAATGCTGGGTGTTTTTCAGCTAAAGGCCTCTCAGAGAAAGGAGCACAAACGTGTCTCTGTTCATAAAAAGACACTGTATCCTCCCGCACTGTGTTCTCATAGGAGGTTGGGAAGTTCCCAACAGCAATAGTGGAGGATGTCCAGCGTTTCTCACTAGGCTCTTAAGAAGTCTTTGCTAGTGAAATCCTCAAGGAAAAATTAATAAGGCTGCTTTTGGGCAGACAGAGAAATCAAGTTCTGAATGGATACTTCAGGGGTGCACAACCAGGCTTCCCTGTCTGCAGTGAAGTTCTGTTCATCATATACCCTGTAACCTACACCAAACTCTTTCTACACCAAGCTATATCGTAGCAAAGAGGGCTTTGTGTCACTAAGGAGCTGAACAATGCTGGACTTGTAAGCCAGCTTCTTGGGGATGGAGCTGGACTTAATGCTGCCAGATTTAAGGCTGGACTTAATGCTGCCAATAATTTTCTCTTTGTCTTCTAACAGTATCTTGTGTGCTCACACCTGAGAAAAGATCTCTCTTATTTGTCTTTTCTATAACTCCTGTGGCATTGCTTTCACACACATTTGTCCACAAAAAGAGTGGGATTTCTCTGTCAGACAAGAAATTGTCTCCAGCTGGCCCCACAGGCCAGCTCAAAACCCTGGTCCCTTGGCCTTCCATGGACACACAGTGATACCAGTAAGCACCCAGAATTCAATGGCACGTGGAATTGAGGCTTCACAGTTTTAGCGTTTCGAATTCTAAACCTGACAAAGCTAAGATGGCACTTTAAAAGGACTGACCCCTGGAGAGTTTGTTCAAGTTCCTGTAATTCTTCAGCTTATATGAATGAATTTCTACTGTATATTTTGCCCACAGAAAAACCTGTAATCCAGGCACTGTTAAAGCTCTGTCCAAAGCACTTCTAAAGATGATTTGTCTTTTTTTTTTTTTTTACTAACAAGTATTATATAAAGCTATATAGCAAATCTTGAGAACAGAAGAAACTTACCCCTTTGTATCAGGAATGGGCATCAAAACAAGCCCACTTCCTTTCCCTCACCTACAGAAAACTTGAACCCAATTTCAAACCCTTTCTGATTCAGGAGGAAACCTGAGCTTCAAGTGCAGAAAGAAAATTTAAAAAGAACACCACTATTAAAGAAAGTCCTGTCATATATAGTGACTTCAGAGGGAACCTGTCTTGTAATTAAACTTCTGTTTTAAGTACATGAAAGAGGAACGCACTACCAAACTCCAGACACTCCTACAGGGGTTTGGAAGAGATTAGAGTCCTCAAATGACACTGTGAAGCTAAAGGGCGGAAGCGGAGGAAGAAAAATGGATGTACAAATAAACATACAGTTACCAGGGTGGCACAGAACTTTTAGAAGACCATGGCAGTTCTGAATTGCTTGGCTGAAAAATAAAAGAGACATAAGAAAAATGGCATAAAGTTGAGCAACAAGCAGCAAGAGAAGGTGGGAGATATCCAAGTTACAGATTCTGTGCTTGCTATGTTACCCTCACCAGCCAAAGCCAGTACTGGTAAAAAATTCCAGGCACCCAAGGGATGCCTCAGAATCTTTTAACATGGGAGTAGGGACTGGATATCCACCAGTATTTGCTCCTCAATGTGAGCAGTGGGGGTGTTTGGGTTTCTCCACCGGTACCCCATTTTTTCTTTGCCTTTGAAACAGGAACAAATTCCTGGAGGTCAGTGAACAGTTTCACATACTCAGGGACACAGACCTTCACCTTTAGTAGCCTCAGTTACACATGCAGCTCTGGGTCACAGAGGGCTGGCTGGGCTGGCTCCAGCACTCTGCCTCCCATGTGGCACACACACACTCCCAGCCCCTTCTGATGCACCCCATGTCCCTCAGATGTGAGCCATTCTGGCAACCCAACAAAGGCAATTGGCCTTGAGGCAAGACGTGAAGGCCTCCACGTGCCATTCATACACAGATTGCTACAGTGATATTTCTGACTTTACAGTTATTTATTTTCATATTAGTTTTTCCAGTTTTACTACTTAATGTGGGGTGAAGGTGACTGTGGGTTTGGCTTTTACTTCATTAGAGATTTTGCTCTTCTATTAAAAAAAAAACCAAAAACCAACCCATAACTCTAATCCTCCCCTCAGAAATACCCAAAATAAGGAGTAAAAAGTAGTAACACCACCTCTTCAATCTAATTTTCATTTCAAGACTGCCTTCAGACTTTTTTTACATAGGTTGTATGATGCAGCATTAAACTTTACTTGGACAAGATTCCTATCCTTTCAACAATAAAGAACTATGCAGTAGACACTAAGTGCTCTTCCCTGTGGAAATGTTAACACCCAGTAACACCCAGACAGTTTCACCCTGATCATTTGGTTTTCTTTCTGCTTTCCAATGTACCAGCACATTGTGAATGGCACACAGCAATCTGCCTTCTTGTCAGTAGCTGAATGAATTATAATCATAACCCTCAACAAATGAAGCAGTCTAACTTCAGTTGCATAAACACAAACTTGCAGTGAAGTAATTTACTTGCACATTACACAAGATTAAACAACAAACAGAATACATGGAAATTACAATGATCCTTTAAAAGCTTAAAGAGGATTTGGGCTGAGTTGGAAACAAGAGTGATTCTCATGTGAAAATTTTATTTATTTTGAAAAAGTGGCCTTATTTTGACTTGCTATAACCCAAGTACTTCTCCTTTCGATTTTTTTAAAACTAGAAACAATTAAGTGATAATCTTTTACAATGGTGTGGAAGATTTAGATGACTTCTATATCTGCACACTCTTTGGCTGGATAAATAGTTTTCCATCTCTTCATGATTTCTTTTTTTTTTCCTGCTTATAAAAAGACCTCTCCCCAGTTGAAACAGAGCAGATGTAATAAGTCTCCTGCAAAGCTACATATTTCAAGAATTTTTTTTTGAAGATGCATATTTTGATAAAATTATATCAGAATTATGAACCTATTATCAGACTGGTTTTTCCCCCTAGAGCTAAAAGTCAGGTATCACTGAAGAAAGTACATGTATATGCAAGTCTTCTTCATCATTTTTCCACGGTAACTAGATTTAGAACAGATGAAAGTCTTAATCCTAAAATGAGGCAATTAGGAGAGTCCAGGTGATTCATAGCTGATCTTTAGTTTGAAGGTTTGGTGAGTCATTACTTTTTAAAAATTCCCTGATTACTGAGCTTCTCAAGGTACAGATGAGCATTCTGGATTATTTATCAATAACAGCAGAAGCACAAGAGAAAATTCACCCACTTTTTTCTGAGCTAAAGTAAAAAATAAAGTTCCTGACAAAACCACCCCCAAGTCAATGCAGAATGGCTAGTGGTTCTTTAAAACATTATTGGATGTAATTTGAGTTCAGATGAAAGTAGGAGAGGAAAAATAATCAAAATATTAAATAGCAAGCACTTTTCTTTACAAACTTATTCCATCTTGTGTATGTATATGCCTTTTTCTCTATCAGTCTTTTATTACTGTCCTGTTCCTTACATTGCCTGGTTGGAATTACATGCAAAAGGCTTTGAAGCAAACAGTGCATATGAGTCAAAATTATTAAACCTTCTGTATTCTTGCTACTTATACTATATATGAGTATCATATGTCTGCTAAAAGGAGTAAAAACATTTTTCTTTGCACACAGTAAGTTCTTTATACGACATAACATCTCACTGATTCAGAGACAGGGCCTGGGTTGTCCAAACAATGACAAACCCTAAATGTCATGTCACTGCTACATTTTAGCTGATATAGGCTGTAACACCGTGTGTCAGATCTGCAGCTTACTCATATGAATCCCATGGAGCCAAACCAATTTATAAGCTGATAATTTTGGTCTGTGTTATTTTTTTCCTTCACATTAATACTACAGTATGGAAACATGGCATGCTTAACTTCCAGAGTAGTAGTAGTACTGAATTATATCCTTTTGTGATTAAAATTGCATAGCAAGGGACTGGCCTTTCATTGCAACATTAACCACAATACCACACAATGGGGATGTGAAATGCTTACAGACAGTGCTTGCTGGTGCTTTAACCTAACGTGGCACTGAGGAGACTCTTTGACCACCTCGTGTTAAAAAATAAGTTAGCCCAAAAATGCTAAAGAAAAATGCATACCTGGCCTGGCCAAAGCAATCAAAAGGAGTGCTGTGGTCTAAGCATTCATGAGAAATCTAAGTACTACATGTAGAAAAGGTCTGCCCTCTGGCTACCTTACAGGATGACAGATTCCCACCGAGTGCCTCAGTCAGAAGCCTGGCTGTCCTTAGTCAGTGGGGAGAGAGGCAGTTGTGCAGGGTGTTGCAGACTGAGTCACACTGGGGAGCCACTTGCTCTCTCCATTAACTATATCTGGGACCTAGGAATCTCTGCTCCAAACTTCAGCACCTCCTTTAAGCCACCTGAAGGAGTTCTTTTTCCCCATATGCAGACACTGAAATGAATTTATTCAGAGCCAGCTCAGAGGCAGCTTCACTGCAGCTCTGCTGGTGCAAAGCTCTGTCCTGGCTGATTCACTCTGCATTATGCAGATCCCAAAGATACCCTACAAACAAAAATAAATGATTTTTAACCCTTTCAACAATTTTGCCCCAGAACCATGTACACAGAAATACTCAACCCTGCGTAGAGCAGTGTAGACAAACAGAACCATTATCAGACACCTGTTAGCACAGATCCCTCACCCCCAGTACAAGGTAGGGGTGCAGAGCACTGTGCAGCAAAGTACCCACAGCAGGGGGATGCAGTACTGAGACCCTCACCTTCCTGCCCAAAGAAAATTGTAGATGTGGTTCCAGAGGGTACAGATACTCTTACTAACCACAATAAAACCCCTCTAAATATATTAAAGCATCTCCTGTGCTTAGAGAAAGTGGCTTTGAATTTCTAAGCTGGCTGCTGGATGTACTCCAGGGAGTACTGTCACACATAAATTTGCAGCAGATGATTCTCAGCACGGTTTCCTGTCAGGGGAGACTGACCAGGTTAAACACAGTCAGGATGCAAGGTCCCACACAGCAGTGTGGAAAGGAGTACTTGTGACCTGACAGGTGTCTTTCTGAAAGACATCTGATGGTATCTAGAAGTGTTCTCTTCATAAACACATTAGGATAATGGAGATGGGACACTGGGGAGGGGAAGAGAAAGCTGCAGCTTATGATCAAGTCTTTGTAAATCACAGCTTCATGCTGAGAAAATAACTGAATGGATTATAACATGCCAATATTTTGTCATAAGTGATCAGACCAGCATAATATCAGAGCTCTACTGCAAAGACACAGTCCTATCTCTCTGAAATGCCTGTGCCTTCTCTTATCCCACTTTTCACTTCCTTCTGATGCTCTTTCCAATGCATGAAACAACCCAGAGAGGCATCCACAGATAGCCTGCTTGCTACACAGACTGCTTATCTCAAAGCCTGACTATTTTCTGTACAGAACGATACCAGAGCCCTACAGAAATCTCTGTGGCAGCTGTGGAACAGAATATCTAAAGGCATCAGAACAGGGAGGTGAATTGAGGTTGTACAGACCTAGTTATAAGAAATAAGAGTATTCAGAAATTGAGAGTTGACAGTACTTAAGAATTAAATGCCAATATATAATAATAAAATTATTGCCTAACTTTCATCCTACTTCCTACTTGCAAACTCACCACATTTTCAGAGAAGAGGAATAGAAAAAAATAATGGAAAAAATCACAGAATATTCAAAGTTGGAAGGGACTCACAAGGATCATCAAGTCCAAACTCCTCAGTGAATGACTCATATGGGGATCGAACCCACAACCTTGGTGTTATTAACACCATGCTCTAACCAACTGATACAACATCAGTCCGTTTTATTGTGGGGAAACTGAGAAACAAAGCATTAAAAGATTTGTCCATAATAATCCAAAGGAGCAATGACAGAAGTGGGCATCATCCTGAATCCAACTTGGCCCTTTGGACATGAAGTCTAGACCAGGCACCCCAGTAATGCTCCAGGTCTCTGGGTGTTGGTGCTCAACCAGTGAATCACGATTCCACACCAGTGCAGGACCCCACAGCAGCCACCCCACAGTGCTCTCAGTGCCAACACAGAAGCACAAATGCATTTCCTCAGGAGCTGCAGGGCAACCATGTGGTGAAATCTCCAACACAACACACCCCAAGTAAGCAAATATTGTCAATAATACCCATTTAAAAGAAAGCAACAAAAACCTTATACAGGGGGATAAAAAAGTGACATTTTCCCCCACATGTTGCCAGCTAAGTGCTGCTGCTCACCCAGGTAAAAATATTACTCTTGTCTAAATGGTGGTAGAAATATACCTTATTATTAACAGTTGCTGAGAGGCAGCTGTGTAAACTTTCTACTGATTACTGATGGTGAGCTGAGCAATAATTTGATTTACAACATTCAAATTCCCTTTTGGTTGTTCCCTCCATTATATATACACATCAGAGAACACCACAGAAAAATTCTGGCCCGTCTTCAATTTAAACTATTAATGTAATACTTTGACTCATACATCTCTCACACTATAAATGTTTTGCTAATATGATACAGTGTTCAAGATGAGGATAAATTGTGGCTGTAAGAAGAATTTTCTTTCCACTTACAGAACCACCCTTTGAGTACCCAGATAGAATACTAACCTATGACACAAAGAAAGCCTAGTAAAAACTAATTTAATAAATGCAAATCTATTAATAAAAGCAGGCAAAATGTGGAATGAGGATGTTCACCTTCTCCTTAGTTTTTTCACTGTGCTAGGACTGAACAGAGGATTAAGGCTATGATTACTTTTCTGCTGCTCTGTATAGCAGTTCATTTCACACGTGGAACACTGGGACTTTGCACACCCATGGAATACTAATCATCAACTTATATTAGTGATTTAAATACAAAATTGAAGGGATAGCAAATCACTGAAAGCTCAAGCTACTATTTAAAGCTCAATCTGAGTCCATTCTGAGCTGAATAACAAAAGACAGCTGGTTCTGGCACCAATTCAGGATAGCTGGGCCCAAAATGGTGCTGGAAGCAGGAACTGGCTTGCTAACAAATATTTTTTTCCACAGAAAGAATAAATTGTAGAAAATTTTCCAAAACTTCTTCCTGCATTGCTAGAATAGCTGGATTGCTTTAAAACATTTCTACTATTAAAAAAACTTTCATTAATTTCAGAAAACAAGACATTTTCTAAAGTATTTAACAACCAGATATATATATGAAAGAGGGAAAAATATTCCTCCCTACTTAGCTACTTACTATCCAATCATAAGCTTTATTTCTCTCCCATGAGCAGTATAATTTTTCTACAAGAAAGGAAAATACTGATGTCTGGTCACAACTTGGGATTTTGATAGCAACAGAAGTCACCATTAAATCATCTGAAAGCATTTTAACTGACCTAGATTCAACATATTCATTAAGGATTTATATAAAACCACCTGCACCCAAAACTTGAGCCAAAGGTTCCATTAAACTGGATAAAACCAAAATGTAAGCTTGATGAAAGTTACTGCAGAAAAGCAAGTTGAATGATCACTTATGAACAGTGGATGGGGCTCCTTTTGGACAGAAGGTGAGCTAGGAATACATGCAGTATTTGCAGCATACAGAAAATATGAAGAACCTGGTTTGGATTATAATGCAGGCATCTTGGACTAATTTTAAGAATATCTATATTCACACAAAATTATTACTACATCAATTTATTAAAAAATAATCATATATATAATTTTGCCAATACAATGTGCTGGTTTTTTAAGAAATCTGCAATGTTTTTAGCTCTTTGGGAAAAATCAGCAGTGTGCTTCTAGCTGTGTTATGCTTCAAGCCATTATAGGCCACCAAAACATGTTCTGCAAATTCTCCTGCCAACAGTGGCTATGCTGAATCAGTACCTTCCAAACTGACAAAGTCTTTATCAGAGAGCCTTAGTCCTGTAACAAGTTGATCTTAACTGCATCAGAAGTTTTGAGAGAACTTTTCACCTCATAAATCAGCTCAAATTGTGTTTTCAACCAGAGATGGAAAAGGAGCCTTTCCTCTAAGTAGGACAAAAGTAAACTTAATCCTATCCCTGGAAATTTTTCCAGTAATGTTGGGTTCCTTCTGTTCCTTCATCTGTGTTTAAAGAGTGCAGAGTACAGAATTTTGGAACAGTCTTTTGAGGCAGGTGCACTTTCAGACACATCAAATACCTACAGATGTAGTCAAAGAGAAGTCCCATCTTTTTGTGATCCCATGTTCTTCTGTCACTCCCATGGCTTCATACAGTTGTGTGCTTCTCCTTTAGGTAGGGTGTTTACCAGTAGGTCTTATTGTCACCATGGCTTGTATCACGTTGTCTTCCTAACCAAGGTCTAAAGAAGACACCCAACATTCAGCTTGGTGACCTTTTGAGCTCAGAGCTTAAAGCTGAGTCAGCTTCTTTGATGGACTCCATGCTACAAATGCTGAGTCTCTTAGGAAATCTGAGTACTGGTTTTGGTGCTGAAAGTAAGTTCTTTAAATTATATTCTATTGGACTTCTACATAGGCAAAAAGTAAGTTTTAGCTCTCTCAGAATACAATCTTCTAAGTAGATGAGTCTCCAGTTAGAGAAAGATAGAAATCATCATTCTGAATCTAAACGTGTTTATACTTTGGGTGACTAATCGGAAATTAATGCCTCAGATTTATTTCTAATTAAATTAGGCTGACTAAATTCCACAGTTTATTGTGTTTATTCTTTCCAGATCTACATACAGCAACCAAACAGCTACTTAAAAATTGCCAAGTAGCTGTGCTATATTTATGATTGGCTACTGCTGCTCAGAACCATAAAAGGTATACACACTTTTTTTTCCTTTTTCCACTTTTCTCTCTCTTTTTTTTTTTTTTTCTTCTTTTTGGCACATGTTAGATAAAGAGATTTTATCTTGCTGTTGCTATTACTCATTTTTCGGATGCATCCCTGACCCCACCACAATTAACTAGGTTGTTCTTCTGCCTCCACACAGCATAAACAATAGGGTAGGCCCAAAAGGAGGCATACAGAGGAATAAAACAACATCAAACAACAAACTATTCTAAGTGTGTGAAGGGATAAGGTCTTACCTGCTGCAAAAGTCTTGTCTCAAGGGATGGCTGGTTGCAGAGGGGATGAAATCTTGCACGTCTAGAAGTTGCTCTCAGCAGACTTGCAACCAGCCATTGAAACTTGCACTGCATTTGCACTTGCAACTGCTGCCATTGAAACACATGATTTCTGCATAGTCACAGACCAACTCACCCCAGTTGCAGTCTGTCTGCAATTCCATACTCCTCGGACACAGATCATGCCTCTTGCAGGGGCATCTCCACTGCAGATGCAACTTGAGGATCTCTTTTCACTGGATAGCACAACTATCAAGTTGCATTGCATCCTTTGCCTGCAATAAGAATGACAGAAGCAAAAGTTGATCTCTGAATTGCAACTTGTTTAAGTGCTAAGTGTTTCCCTCCTCAATTTTATTGAGAGAGAATCTTCACAGATGAGGTTTTGTGCAGAGTTCATCTGTCAACTTCATCTGCTTAAGAAGAGATGCCAAAGCTCACTAAATCACCCTTAACTTGCTACCTCACCTTAAGGCAAAAGGATTATCTGTGGCTGAAGTAGCTGAGTTCCAGGTAGGCAGCTGGCATGGACGGGAAAAGATCTTGTGCAAATCCTCTAGACCAGTAGAAAGGAAGGGACTACACTAATTACACATGCAATCAAACAATACAACTATACTTATTTTAAGGGAATTAGTAATTTGTGAAATAAGGATGTGCATGACAAGTGTACAATTGCCTTCCCACGATAAGTCTGAGTTAATGGCTTAATTTCACACCTACTGTGTCACAGAGGGCAAGAGAGAAGGGCTGTATTTAGTGCTACTCAAACACACACTGATTTATGACCGTACTTCTTCCAACAGCTTGAGCTGTGTTTTGGTCCAGGACAGATAGCCAGGAGAAACACAAAGTCAAAGTCTACCAAAGCTGAATATAAACTTATGTTCACAAGTGTCTGATCAAATTTATGATTTTCACTAATACGCGCATAGATTTAAGTCTGTTTTACAAGGAAATTGCAAAGCAAATACTGAATTGTTTAAACTATTTTTATTTTCCATGACCTCTGATATTGCTGCACTGCAAAATAAGGTCTCAAAATTCACCATTTCATCACATAGGAATCTGAAAGAATTTTACCTCCTTTCCAGGTCCTATATTTAAGTGTCTATACACTGCATAATCTGTCCAAAGATAGACATTCTCATTACAAATACCTTTAGCAATTTTATTTGAATCTGTTTATTTTTTTATTATACAGAGAAAGCAGTAAAGTAAAATTGCTTATAAGTACAGTTACAGAGAATAAATCCTATTCTGGAGGGATTTTGCAATGTGTTGAATCTTGGTTTCACTCTGACTGGAAATTCTCCAAAGGAATGTTTTTCCATAGGAAAATGCTGATTCATCAAAACCAAAGCATTTAGCAGTAGAAAAGGCCAACTACAGTGGAAACCTATCTTCTACTGGAAATATGCCCAGGCTTCTGCCAGCTTGCCCGAGCCTCTGTGCTGCCCAGATGGGAAATCAAAGCATCCTGAAACTAAAAATAAGAGGTTTGACATGGAGATAAGTTCATGGAAGTCTCATCAGCTCCTATTTCCAATGTCCTACATTTCCAAGGTTTCTCATTTGAACACAATTCACCTGGGGAGGATTGCTGAGCTGGTAGAGAAGGATCCAGTGAACTGAGAGGGTAATACTTATGATCTCCAGGGCCAGGAGATCCCACTGCTCCCTGCCTGCTCTCTCCCCATTCGCCAGTCAGGATGACAGAGCTCAGGAGCTTTGATGTATGAGAACACTATAAAACTCACAAAGCTCATATGGAGTACAAAACTTATTACCACTGCTTCTGAAAAAAAAAAAAAAAAATTTCTAAACCTTCTTTTGCTCCAAAACCCAATATCAGCTCTATAATACTCACATGAAAATATGTTTTGCATGATACTCCTATTTGGACACTCAGACCCATTCCCTTTACCATTAAATGTTTAAAAGGGCCACAGAGTGATCTTCTCCCCAAACTCATATTTTTTTTCAAGTGAGGAAATTTTATTATATATTAAATTAATGAAATTAATTTAAAGGATTGTTCAAATATACTGAGGTATAAACATAGATCAAACTACCACAAAAATCCCCAAAATCATACATCTGGGAGCTGCAGGTGCTAGGACACCCTGAAATGGGCCTTGAACTTGTCACCCACATACCCAGAAGTATGTTAATTCACCTCACTGGTCCTGGGAGTGTCGGTGCCCTCACTTGCATCCATAGGAGCAAGAACAAGACTTGGCTCAAAGTCCCCACTCAAAGTCTGCATTCTGGGTAACAGCAAAGTGTGGGATGAAACTCATAGGGAAGTTCATGACAATACAGCTCTCAAAATCTAGCTGACTCTATTAATGCAGGTACAGACCCCTGGCAAAGGGCTTGAACTGAAGGATGACCACACCTTGCTAGTGAGCACGGAGGCAGTGCTCATGCTATGGGCTGTCAGGCAGTGCCCAGGTGAGAGCACACACACCTGCTCAGCAGACTGTCAGAAACAACCTGATTTTTACCTCTTCAGGTCTTCTGATGCCTAAGTGCTTCTCAGGGCACTGGGCCATCACGGGCTGCTGTGTGGTCATTGCTCCCTGCTCCGCAGGGAAGGACTCAATATTTCTCAGCATGCCAAAAAATCCAGCTCTATCTTCTAACTTTATTTAATTTGGACAATTCTATTCAGAGCTGGAGCCAGCAACAACAGGGGACTAAGGAGTGCCAAGTGGCTGATGCTCAATCTAAACAAGCCAGAGAATGCAAACTCCTTCAGGAGTAGGATTGCTATAATGGGCATAAGTGTTCTCAAATCAGTGATGACTTTAGATGTTTCCGTAAGACAGGCATTCAGTGCAGCTTTTGGAAAGTGGAGTTGACTGCTTGCTAAGCAAGTCCTCTTGCAGGGAGCATGTAACTGGTGCCCCAGAGTTCAATCCAGCTGCCCATTAGCCTTGGTGAGACAGGAGAAGTTTAAACTTTCAAAACAAAGCTTAAATTGAAATACCAACTAAGGATGGTATGCTATTGACTTAAATCACTGACATTTACTACAAAAATAGCTGTTTCTGGCTTTGTTTTGCAATTAGATCATGTTTCATCATCTAAATGCACTAAGATATGTAATAATAGGAATTACTGCAATGGAATTTTATATCATTAATAATTCACTAGCCTGCATTTGGGAGAGCATCCCACAAATATGCAACTCAGCATGCAGATGGAATGTCAACTAGAAAATATTAGTAAGTCCATTATATATCTGGAAATTGCCATATGGAGTATCAAACAACTTACTAGTTGCTTGCCCTAGCAACAGGACCTACAACTTCTAATATGGCAATCAAAATACAGTGACTTACTTGACAGTTCCTCCTTTTCTTTCTATCTCTTTCCTGAGGCAGGCTTTCAGGCTTGCCCCTTTCCAGTATTCTGGATCCTCGCCTTTCCTCCCAGACTTCAAAGACATTTGCTTATGGCTGTCTCAGATGGGCTAGAGCAAAATATTTTAGAGCTTTTAAGACACTGTGAAACTTCAGACCCACAGGGTGACCATTACATGAAGAATCACAGTCTGACTATAACAAAGAAAAGTACCACTGCAGTGTCATGAATCTCTTCAAACCAAATTAGACTCCCCTGTGGCCACAACGGATTCCTCTAGAAGACCCTCCTCCTCTCCATCTTCACCATGCAGTCTAAAGAATGAAGAAATCCCTGTATTTGCTCAGCTATAGTTATTCTTGGTCAAACATTTGGTCAAAAGGAACATTTCAAAGCTTCAGGGAATCTTAACAGTATCTTGTGCAGCCAGAACCATATAGTGAAAACTACAGATCACCATTTTCAGAAAAGTATAGGACCTTTTATGAGAGTTACTTGCCACTGAACTCCACTAAGAACACTGCTGAGCACAAAATTCTGGGAGATGAAAGGGACAAGAATCTAATAAAATCCTTATGGAGGATTTCCACTGCTCTCTTCTAAACTGGTCTTATATCAGAAAGTTTGACCTTTGGAGGATTGTTTCTTGGAACAACTTGTTCTGGAGCACACAGGGGAGAGGATGTTCTGACCCTTGTCCTGAAAACACATGAGCCTGGCTTGGTACAGCTCAAGAAACAGCTCTAATGGAGCTGCTAGTGAGAGTTACCACCATAGAACCAAATGCAATGTCCTTGATGAAGAAATAGCATGGGAGGGGGGGAATATATAAAAGGGATTTTCAATCTAGTAAAGTTACACTAACCTCTAGAAAGAGGAATTTTTTCAAAACTTGATTTTGTTAAACACACTCTGAAATGTAAATATACAAATTGAGGTATTTAGCAAAGATATTGCTTTTGATTTGTTTAAATCAAAAATGCATCCTTAGAAAAGAGAAACCTTAAGTAAACCAGGAACAAGAAATAAATTGACTGAAATTAGGGCCAAAGTGTTCCACATGACTTACAAGCAGTGATCAGAAGGACGTGACTATGATAAAAATAAATAATGAAATGAAGCTCCCTCTTTTCCCATAAAGTCACAAGTGCTAATATCTCCTTTGCTTGTTCAGCTATGTTGTCCAGGGTGTGGGAGAGTGGAGCTTGGTTTTACTGGTTATAGAGTGACACAGAAAAGAATGGTCTAGCAGGTACCTTAGTCACACATGAAATTAAAAATAACATAAAAATGAGATGGTTGTCAATAAGTTTATGAACCTCTCAGGTATACAATCTGAAAATACACAGTCTAGTGCATAAGAAAATAGTTTATTTTCTAGAGCAATGAAATTTTGTGCAAAAAGTAGAGGACAAGAAAGGAAATTGCCCAGTAAATAAAACTATATTATAGCTATCTACTAGAGGGTTCATAGTGTCTTCCTTTGGAAATACTCAGATTGTCCTACCATTTGAGACAGGGAGCTAATTAGATGTGCCCATAGCTACCTATGCATAGATGTGCCCCTAGCATGAGTTTTTACATGAACAGCAGAAGGCCAAAAAGCCACACTATCTTGCAAATTTATGCAGGATGTTATGGGACACAGTGCCAGATTTCTCAAGGCTCCAAGTATCTCCTTCTGTTGAGTACAAGATACACTGATGTCTTGAGATGCCTTCATAATCGCATTCCTCTAGAATCTTTTTCTGCAACATCTTTCCTTCTTTAAATGAACATTTAAAGGTTCATTTGCTTGTGTCCAGAGGTTGCTCCAATAGCACACAGTTGTATAACCTTGAAACCATGTTCCATTAAAACAGGGAAGGTGTGAGAAGCAAAGCTGTGCTGTCCCATCTGT